ACAAAGGGCTTTCTTGTGGTGCCTAACAAAAATCTCCTCTCCGGGCAGTGCGACCTGGAGGCAGGTCCGCTCCCCCATACCCTCACCTCTCTCCCAAGTGCAGAAACAGCCCCGTGACCCCGAATCCTCAAGCAAAGCCCACGCGTCTGAAGAGCTTCTGAGGCCCTGGGTCTGCAGTGCCCTATTTGTAAGCACGGCCAGGGCCCTTCCGGTGTCAGCGGTGGCCTCCACGCGAGTCCCCAGTGCTGCCTGCACAGAGTGTTGAATCTTATTTAAAGAACTCACCCGTTCCAATTTTGTCTCCTACCCAAGGTCTCGACCCTTAGCTGAATTTCAATTAGTTGCCCTGAGGATCCTGGAGGAGACTCATTTCAGAGGAAAGTGCCTTCTGCCACGCAGCACCGATCCAGCCTGAAGTTAGTGTCTATGAATTTCAACTCTGGGAACTGCCGCTGCTCACCGGGCCCAGAGCAATGTCTTTCGCGATGGCCCGTATTTGCCATACTTGAGACAAGCCTCTCCGTAATTCTGAAATTGTTTCTCCCAAATCTCATTTTCAAGACAATCACCGCTGAGTAAGTTTTCTTCCAAAGCTGCCTTGAGAATTGCTTCTCGAAACAAGAATAATGATTGCTTTTCTGAAAACACGCAGGTTGCAAACTCTGACAGCTGACGGGCAGGACAGAGGGGAGTGAGGTTAAGAGTTCTCCTCTGGGTGCTCTGTGTGATTCATTGAGAAAATGGGGCAACACTCAGGGACGCTGGTCTTCATTGTCACTGGTGAAATGGGACAGTATTTGGTCTCCTCTCTGTCTTACTGGGTGTGGGGATGGCGCCACACTGGATGAGTATTATATTTCTGGTCTCTGGAGAAACAGATGCACTTGCAGAAATGTCAGTTTTATAAGACTTATCTTTCTCAAGAAAGTTTTTATGGGGATGAGAGGGAGGGTCATGTTATTTTTATCCCCGAGGATAACATTCAGGAAATTGGAATATTTTGAAGTGCAAACCATTAGAGCCCGGGACTGGCCGTGCTGGATAATGAGCTCCTTTTAGCAGGAAGTTTGCTGTTTAATACAATGGGAAAGTAATTTATTGAGAAGTGTCCGTGGGGGCAGAAAGGAGGAATGCACTTCTGCAGGTGTTTCAGGTAACCAGCCGAGGCGAGGAGGGACAAGGCTGTCCTAGGAGCCTGCAGACGGGGGTCTTGTCTCCTCCGCAACCAGCTAGCTGTGGCTCTGAGGTAAGCCTGCTCACATCTCCAGGCCTTGGGTCTCCCACTTGTAAAATGAGCAGGCTGAGGTACAGCTGTGATTTCCACACATTTTAAAGCAACAGAGCTCTTCTTAGTGAGTGATTTTCAGAAACCAAATACACACCATGCCAGGAGAGGTACCTGAACCCCACCTGCACCTGGAAGGTTTTCTGTACCTTCCATACCCCAAGGCGTTCCTGGGCCCTCACCTGCTCCCAGGTGCATGGTGACAGCTAGTAGCTTAGATGACCTTGAAATTCTTTTGTCATCGAACAAGGAGAAATGCTTGCTTCTAATCTAGCTGACATTGGTTTCTTCTACCTTTGGAGGGCTGAAGCCTTATGATGCTCAGAGAGGGACCTGTTAAGTGCTGTGGGTCCACCCCCAGGACAGTTGATGCTTCAGAAAACAGGTGACAGGGACACAAAAATGTGGGCCAGCGTCAGTCACAGAAGAAACTGCTGGGTCTTCCACAGCCACATCTATCTCACTGGCTGAAAATGATGCTGTGGCTAGAGATGGTTTTCTTTGTGTGTGATTGTAGCTGCCATATAGTTCCTTCCTCTCTCCTTCCCTCCTCATTCATTCATTCATTCATTCATTCATTCATTTCACTCACTAATTCACAGTTATTCATCACCTGCTTCTAGACCACAAGTGGTTTAGCGAGGAAGACTGACAATGAATAGGTCAACAAATAGCCATGTGATCACACAAGCAGCATAGTGACTAGTGGTAGTGGCGGGGGACCCAACTGAAGATGGTGTGAGAGAAGCCAGCCGTGGGAAGAGCTGGGAAGAGGATGTCCAGGTGGAGGGAGCAGCACAGGGAGATCCCCAGGCAGGAAGGAGCGTGGCGTGCTCTGGGACAGAGAGCCCTGCTGTGTCTGGTGCACAAGGAGCGACAGAGCCAGCGAGTGAGTGCAACCCTTGCTGCCATGGTCCTCAGAACGACCCGGCAATGAGCCTGCTTGGAGCAAGCAGGCAGCCATGCCTGCGGGAAGGCTTGGGTGCTCGCCCCAATGAGCAGAAGTGGTTTATGCTGCAGCAGAGGGCATGCAACCCAGTAATCACATGGACAATGCGCTCACTTATTTTCCTTTTCACTGTCCGGCTGCAGGCCTGGGCCTGGGGTGGTTGGCCCAGACTGGGAGCCGGCGAGGCTGGGAGAGGAGACTGGAACGGAAGCAGAAGAGAGGGAGAACAAGGTCTTGGCAGAGACCATCCGCTCCCTCGCGTTCCCAAGGACTATGTGCAGATGTGAAAACTGAGCAGCGAAGAAGGCAGACAGGGGAAAACCGACTCCTTCGGAAGATGGTGTTGGAGGAGCGCTCTATGGATACCCTGGACCACCAGAAAGATGAGGAAGTGGGTCCCAGAGCAAATTAAGCCTGAGATATCCCTGGAGGCAGAGACGGCAATAGTGAAGCTGCCCCACTTTGGGCACATCATGGGGAGGCAGGGTGCTTTGGAAGAGACGATGATGCTGGGAAAACGAGAAGGCGGCAGGCAAAGAGGAAGACCAGACACGAGCCAGGCTGACTCCCGAGAGGAGCCCCAGGCAGGCGTCTGCCGGAGCCCAGCAGGGCTGCTGAGGACAGGACGTGGTGGCTGGCCCTCCTTTGCAGGAACACCAGGAGTTGGAGCCAATTCAACAGCACACAGTACAGAGCAAGGGTCCTGGGCTCTGAGTCCGCAGGCCTGGGTGTGCCACCCACTGTGTGACTCTGGGCAAGACACTTAACTCCAGTCCCTCACAAAAGGCTCACCATTCCAGGGCCTCCCTCACAGTTTGCTGTCGAGAATAAATGGGAGGATGTATGCGCCTGGCACATTGAAATGGCCCCCTAAGTGGTGACTGGGCAGGAGACAGTTTAGGGGGGAGGTGAGACAACAGAACTTTGTTCAGTGTTTTACAATTCGCAAAGCGCTTTCACCCACGGAAAGTGGAAGACTGTACCTGCGCCTCCACATCTGTATGTTTATCCCTGACTCCCTCCCCAACAACCAGACATAAATATCAGTAACAGTACCAAGCTTGTTTATTTCTAGGGGTCACCACGTGCCAGGCACCATCCTAAGCACTTTACATATAGTTCATTGAATAGTCACAGCCCTGAAGAGAGAAGTACTGTAGTGGTCCCATTTTACAGACGAGGGAACTGAAGCACAGAGGTTAGGTGACTGGGTCAAGGTCACAGGTCTGATAAGTGAAAGGACAGGATCAAAGATGTAACTACTGCCAGGCTATCTGCTAAAGACCAGGGCGATGGGGACAAGGAGACAGACCCCTGCCTGGCTTCAGTGGACTCATGGACCTCGCTTCAGGGACACAGTAAATCTCATATAAGGTGATAGATGCTGTGGCTAAGAGTTAGGGAAGGTTTTACGATACATGTGTCTAGGTGCGTGTGTGTGTGTGTGTGTGTGTGTGTGCGCGCGCGCACACGCGCACACATACTCTCACATACACTCACACATCCCACTGAAACAACTGTGCTTAAATAAATTCATGTAATTAAGAATACAGCATTAAGTCCTAACTGGTTTGGCTCAGTAGACAGAATGTTGGACTGCGGACTGAAGGGTCCCAGGTTCGATTCCTGTCAAGAACATGTACCTTGATTGCAGGTACATCCCCAGTAGGGGGTGTGCAGGAGGCAGCTGATCAATGTTTCCCTCTCATTGATGTTTCTAACTCTCTACCCTCTCCCTTTCTTCCTGTAAAAAATCAACACATACACACATACACACACACACACACACGTATGTATATATATGTAGCATTGAAAATGGATTGACAGGGAGGTCAGCCTAATTATTCTGGAGAGCTCTTAGACCCTCCTTCACTATGTATTAGTACCTCTACAAGAAGGTGAGCAGACTAAAGGGTTTCTCGTGATTTGTTGCAACTGGTGAAACCTCTGACACAAAGAATAAGCTTGAGGGTACTGGCTGCAGGGCAGTGTGGTCCAGTGGTTGAGATCACGCTTGGGGCCAGACAGGCATGGTTTGGTCACAACACCACTTAAGAGCTGTGTGACCAAAGGTAAGTCAGTCACTTAACCTGCAAGCCCCAGTTTTCTCATCTGGTGTGGCAGATACTGTTAAGGGGCTCACATAACACCTTTTCTAACCCACTGCTCCCCTTCCTGCCTCCACTAGAGAGGCCCCAAACCAAAGCGCCCCAAACCAAATGGCCCCGCCACCCTGGCAGAGAGGGGTGCCCGATGCCAGAGTTGTGGACAAACTCTCCTGAATAAGAAGACTTTCCTGAGGAAGAAGGCAAAGCCTCGAAAGGGGTAGACTTTGTCCTCTCCGCCCTTCCTCCTCCTTCCTGAGGCACAGCAGCATTCTGTGACCAGGGGGATGAGGAAGTGGAAAGAAAAAAGCCTGGTTGGTTCTTGGATGATAGCCTTGAGCAGCTGTACCAATCCCAAATCTCATTATAAAATGAATGAGTGAATACGTAAATGAAGTAACCCCTTTCTTGTTTGAACTGCTGTTTACCAAGTTTCCTGTTGTTTGCAGTTTAATGCATTTCTACAGTGGTGCCAACGGGGTAAGAATAGAACCTACATCATGGGTTGCCGCGAGGACGCAACAAGATAGTAATGTGTATGTGCCAGTCACAGCAAGCACTGGTAAGTGGTGCTGCTGAAGGCAGGAAAACCTGTCACCCCCCGGGGCAAGCAAGTCCCTGTTTGGAGCATGGAGGGCAGGAACCAGGTGGAGGGACCTACCTCGGTCACTGAAGTCGTCAACCAGCACAATCTCAGCGACCAGCTCCGGGGGCGAGCGGTTGAGCACGCTGTGGACGGTGCGCAGGAGGGAGGACCAGCCCTCGTTGTGGAAGGGGATGATGATGCTGGTGTTGGGGAGCGTCTCCAGGTAGCGCTTGCTGTTGCAGCTGGAGAGAGACACGGGGGACAGGGAGAGGACAGTTGTCAAGAGAATGCAGGCATGTGGTTCGGCCAACGGCAAATCCCCGCCTTCTCCAGCCTTTCGGGAAGAAGTGAAAGCCAGAGACACCTCCATCACTGCGGAACCTTCTCCATCTGACTTAGCATCCTGAAGTTCTGCCTCCAACCCCTGCTCACACACTCCACAGGGGGACGTACACGAGACCCAAAATGACGACAGCCAATGCTGACGGAGCAACCCTGGGATTGAGTGCTGTGAACCCGTTCCAGCCTGAACCTGTTCCAGCCTGGATCATAATGGGAATGTGGTGCCCGTCCTCAAGACTCCGCGTGGAGGACAGCCCGTCAGTAACTCTGCTCCCTCCCCCACTCTTCCTCCCCACACTCCTCCCCAATGGAGGGCAAACCATTTGTGCAGGAGTTTGGAAGAATACACTGCGCCTCTCCCTTTCCCTACCTGGGCTCTACCTGGAAAGGGAGCATTTCCCCCTCTGCTCTCTACCAGCCCCAGGGCAAGCTCCAGGGTGGAAGGCCCTGCCTCTGTGGGCCTTTAACATCATTGTAACACCCAGAAGAATGACCGGAGTCCCTTAATATCATCAAGTACCTAGTTGGTGTTCAAATTTCCTGGATCTTCTTGTGTCTTTTTATAGTTGGCTTATATAAATCAGTATCCAGACAAGGCTCATATTCTGCCTTTAGCTAATCTAAATGGTGGGAACTTGAGCTTTCGGCGTACAATTCTTTCAACTTTTCTGTATATCTGACAATTTTCAGAAAGAAATGTTTCTTGGAGAAAAAGTGGGTCAGGGTTCATAAGTTTCAAATTCTCTCCGCTGGAGGCACCGAGGACGGCTGGGGCAGAGGACTGAACTCCTGGATTCTGGCGGTGAGCTCCGGTGCAACCGTGTGAATGAACTCCTCTAATTCTGGCAGCCCTGTTTGGATGGAGAAGCCAGCCCCTCTCTTTCCCCTTGGGACCGGAATTCTTGCATGTCCCCTCGTGTTCTTCCACCCGGCTCCCCTTTCCTCACCTCTCTCACCCCTTTGATCATTTCAGCCAGCCTTCTCCTGGAGCCTTCTCCAACTTCACTCTATCCGCCTTAAAAAATAAACGGAAGCACTTTTTTCTTTTAAAAAATCCCTTTCCCTTAACTCAGCTGGGTCCTCTGTGGCCAAGAAAAACAGGTGACATCTAGCTTGCTACAAAAGGTCCTGCCTTCCGTCCAATTTCACAGGAGGCTGGCGTGACTGGGGCAGCACGGGGCGGGTTGAGGGGGTTAGCTGCCATAAATTGCCTGGAGTCCACGGGGCGAAATACAATAGAGCCGTTACCCAGTGGGAGCCCCGGCTCTCTGAAACCCCAGAGCGGGGCCCACAGCCTGTCGGCAGATAACATGAACAGCATCGTAGACAAGGCTGCTACAGACTAAATTCTCTTCTAATCTAACCCAACCCTGGAACTAAAGCTTACTCAGAACTCAACTAAAAGGCTAGCTTGAATGATAAACCTGAACATGTGCCTTTTTTTCTTTTATTTAAAAAAAATATATATATATATATTTTATTGATTTTTTTACAGAGCGAAGGGAGAGAGATAGAGAGTTAGAAACATCAATGAGCTGCCTCCTACAGGGGATGTGCTCACAACCAAGGTACATGCCCTTGACTGGAATCGAACCTGGGACCTTTCAGTCCGCAATCTGACACTCTATCCACTTAGCCAAACCGGTTACAGCCATATGCCTTTTTTTCTTCTCTTGGTCTCCTCTCTTTTTCTCCCTCTTTTCTCCATCCACACACCCACCCACCCATCCATCCATTTAATTACTAAATAGGCAAAAAATGGCATGTTGACGTTTGCCATTGGCACTAGTCAGAAGTTTGGTCCCAGCTTAGCAGAGGCTCTTTGTTTAAATAAAAATAATTGTGTGACATGCTGACATGAATCCCTCCAGTGTCCAGCAGGAAACTTAGTTCCACAGGCCAGGCCACCGGCCACCTTCCTGTTGCCAAAAGCCCCGGCCACCCACCTTTGCCAGAGCCACAGGGGACCCCCCTCCCACTTAGCAGTCCCCTTTAAGACCTGTCTGCACACTGTGTCTTGAGAGGTCCACAATGGCTGGTGGCACATGCCAAGTTCCTTTGTGTGTGGCGAACACAGAGCATCCCCTCGCCAGAGCCCTCAGACAGCAGCCCAGAGGATGCAGTCTCCAGGAAGGGGAAACTAGGGCACCGCTCCCCGTGAAAGAGGCTCCGAGTGGCTATGATCAGACAACAATAACCTCTGCCTCCCCACGGTGCCTTGTGCCTGATGGTTCCCAAAGTGCTCTCCCTTCTCTCTCCTCTAGATCGGCACCAGCCCCCGAGGAGGGATGAACGAGGGAGTGCTCACACCATTTCTCACATGGAAAACAGAGCCCAGAAAGCTAAGGGCCTTGGATCTGGGACTTAAATATGGATACGACCTCTTTAAAATAACATTTATATGCGTGTGTATTTCTTGATAAAACTGTTAACTGCTCAGTGCAGAAGTCTGGAAAATGCAGAAAGGCTGAAGGACAACGGATAATGACAGCAGCAGACCTCTGCCCTCTTCTCTGAACGTATATCTGCTTCTGAACACAACATCCAAATCTCTGTGGGTTCCCAGCTGCAGCCTGGCTTCCTGAGCCCATCCTTGGGCAGGACCAGATAGAGCAATGCCCTTGCCGAGGGTCAAAGCAGTGACATGGGGAGCCTTCCCGCACACAACCTAGACGCCTTCTCAGCTCCATACTCTGGCCCCAGATGGCGCCATAAAAGAAGCAGTGCCGTACAACGCAGACCTGAGAGAAGAACATCCTGCCCTTTGCACAAGCACTGCCACCAGCAGCTGGGTCACACACAGCCAGGGCCAGGTTAAGCTAGGGGCACAGAGCGTGAGGTCAGCAAGGCACGATCGCGGGTGTCCCCCGACACACACTGGAGCAGTGAACGGAGAACAAAATGAATGGAGATCAACAGGGAACGTTTCAATAGATGTGAAAATTCCAACTATAGAATACCGATAAGCGGTTGCCAAATAAGGTGGGAGATGACAACGGTGATAGGAGAAACTATCTGTTAAGGATTCCCATTATGCCCGGTAATGTTCTAAGCACTTTGGAGGGATTAATGTCACTTCACAGTCATAATGCTCTTAGGAGGCAGGGGCTGTCATTGCCTCTATTACAGAGAGGAGACAAGGCAGCGAGAAGTTAAGGAACCTGTTAAGGCCAAATAGCTGGGAAGGGCTGGAGCCTGGATTTAAACCCAGCTGCCCTTCATACATATTATCTTCTTATAGGGATAATGTGTCAAAGCTATTAATTATGTAAGCAAAGGAACAAATAGATGAAAATCAAAAATTGGGGGAACTAAGTAGGAGCCTGAAGTCCTGCCTCTTGTATCTGCTTCGCATGCAACAACGCCAGTCTTCTGGCTGGGCCTTACTTAAGTCAATAAGGGGGCTGCACTGAGCAATGGCAAGGCTGTGTGCCTGCTCTGTATCCCCTCTCCTGTTCCTGTCTCCCTAGTCTTATGGTAATAACATCCTGACTGTCCACGGTGAACCTCCCACCCCTCATTTCTACAAGATTTGGGGGGAGAGGGAGATCCTTGCTTTCCTTGAGGATGATCAGAGCATGGCATCTCTCCAGTGATGGGTTCAAGGCTGGGCACCGGGAAATCAGAGTAAATCTTTGCTGAGACAACTGGGAGCGAGCTAAGCTCTTTTCTGCTGAGACACAGCACGCAAGGATAAAGTCTGGACTGCCTGGGGCCACCATGCAGGCTGTCCCCTGTCTTAAAATGATTGACAGAACAGAAAACAGAGCCAAGTGTTGGAGAGAGGGGTTCCTGCTGGCCTCACTTAGGGACCTGAACCCAGCCACAGCTGAAGTCAAGGTCTACTCCTGGCCTTTTCACTTACATGAGCTGATACATTTTCTTTTCTTAAGTCAGCTAGAGTTAGGTTTCTGCCACTTGTAACTAAGAGAATCCCTGCTGATGTAACTGGATGCTCTTTAAGCCTTTCAGTGGAATGAATCTGTTTCGGACCTAACGGTGGCTTCTGAAGGGCAGAGGCAAAAACTCATTCACCGACTCGGAGAAAGCAGCCTGGGCGGTGGGTGCGGGAGGCAGCGGAGCACTGGGAGCTGACCGAGCTCATTTGTGACAGAGCGGGCCCCCATTTAACATTCCCTAAAGGATTCTGAACTCTTGGAACACAAAGATAAAATTACAATAATACACTGGCCCTTAAGCGGGGCTCACTGCGGGACTCTAGAATATTAAAGGAGAGAAGTCAAAATCAAAGGGAAGCGCTGCAAAAATCTTCCCTCTGCGTCAACTTTGAACTAGAAAAATCCAACCATTTAGAAGGGAACTATAAAACACATTTGATTCCAGCCAACAAACCTGACATTGTCTGTGCCTGGACTTGGGTTCAAATCCTGACAGCCACCCCCTAGCTGTGAGACCCAGAGTTGGGTTCCATCCCTTGCTGAGCCTCAGTTTCCTTATCTGGGAAAGGAGGGTGGTAACACCACGAGAATGGTAACACCACAGCCCTGTGGAGGACGAAGTAGCTAGCTCTGTCCTTGGAGGCAGAGGAGTCCGTGTGGAGAACTCACAGCAGAGCATGCTCCTGACTTCAATTCTCTTGGAGTCTGGGGTGGCCATCCCAGGAAAGGGCATGAGGCTTCCATAAGGCTTCAGCAAGAGTTTTGCTCTTGTAGACCTGGTACCCCAGACTTTAGCCAGCTCATGGCTCAAAGCCTTCTCATTGGCTTACTCTCAATCGTTTGTGTATCCAAGCAATGTTTCCTGAGCACCTACTATGTGACACACACTGTGCTATGCCCTGGGATTATAATGGGGAGAAACAAGCTGTTGTCTCTGTCCCATGGGATACAGAGTGAAATGGGGGAGCAGACAAATAATATAAGCAGTAAGAGATGATAAC